AGAAATAGGATCAAAATACTATCTGAATATCAATTTTACAATAAATATTTATTTGTTTTGGTAGAAGTTGATGAGCAAGTTAGAATTAAACACAATCAAAGAAAGTTTAAAACAAGTATAGAATAGGAATTAAAAATTCTTTTTTTTTATTATTAATAAAATTACTAAAGTAATTATTGATTACAAATAAAATTTTATAATATTGACATTTTTTAGATTTATCAAAAGACAAAGTACTAGAATATTTAGGTTTAATATTGAATTAGACAGTGTTGGCAAATAACCCAAGTCATAACATTTTTTTAATATGACCTGCATATATGACCTATGACAAGTCATACGTATGATTATATAACTAAGATCATATTAAATAATAGTAAAAAAAATTTTTGCTATAAATTTTTCTATATTAAAAAAGTCATAAATCATATCAATATTCATTATGACCAAATGACCTATGACAGGTCATAGAAGTTATATAGGTCATTTAAGGTCATCTGCCAACACTAGAATTAGGTAGTTGATATGCTTATTGTTTCAGTAATGAAAAGCCAATTGTTTCTAAAAAAGTTGTTGGTTTTAATGCTCATGGAATTGTTCCTGTTCCGAATAATAGATGAGAGTTTAAAATTAAAGAAATCGGTTCATTTTAAAAATGATTCATCATATCATTGTAATTGATAAGAAATCCACGAACTTGCCTTGCTGCTATTCAGGATGAGCAAGAAAACGGGTATATAAAGATAGTAAGTGCTCAAATTTGTAATAAATGTTATTTAAATGAGATGAAATTTGCACTCTTCTTCACGAATGATCGCGTCAAATAGTGGTCAATTTCCAGTTTATTATTCTTTTCGGGGTATGCTTTTGGCAAATATTTTATTTGAAGAGATTCTTTGATGTTAAACATGTGGTTTAAAACTAGATAGTAAAACTAGACATTACTTAATAGCATTTATTCTGAGAATAGAAATTTAAAGTATTGATTATTTTCCTAGATATTAGGAGCTCTTTTTTCGAAAAGTTATCTTTAATAACATTAATTTATAAAAATAAAAATAATACTTGAATATACAAAAAGGGAATTAAATCTGCGGATAACACTGTTAGTATAATTTTTTTTATTTAACATATCCAAATAATTCTTTATAATCAAGTATTATAAGGAATAAAAAATAAGATTCATCCTTTTTAACAAAATTACTTTCATAATTTTTTTGAGATTGTTTTTTCCAAATAGTTAGTAACTAATTTGTCCAAATAACTACCAACTCCATCAGTTTCACTTGAAAGCATAGGCTCAACAATTTTTTCAACATATTTACCCAACATATCAACTTCAATATTAACCTTATCACCAACTTTTTTCGAAGGCATAGTAACGTGACTTTGAGTATATGCGACTAACATGATACTAAACCACTTTTCGGAATCGTTTACCTCGCAAACAGTTAATGAAATACCATCTAGACAAATGTAACCCTTGGGAATTATGTAACGAAGGTATTTAGAATCTGATGGTGAAATTTTAAACCAAAGAGAATTCACTTCTGGAGTAATAGAAATTATTTCTCCTGTTGTATCAACGTGACCCTTTAGTAATATAATTGAAACGATTAAAGGAAATTGAATAAATATGAATATATTAGAACTGTTAGAACTGTATATTAAAGCAAATCATCTACATAAGATATTGGGTTAATATCAATAAATGAAACTATTGTGCCATTGGCACGATATTATGATCCAATATCAGATGTCATCGGGCAATTCATGACCATTCTCCATCAATAAACATAACTTACTGTCATACGCTTTATATCAAAGAAATTAAGCCATGGTCATTTTATTTGCCCGGCAATTATTGCTATAACTTCTTTACTTGTACAAAATGTCCTCCAAATCTAACATTAGCTGCAAGCGCCCTTTCTAAGTTCACTTTATCTCCGATTTTTAAATCACCTTTAATAAAATATTAAAAAATCATTAATAAGATAAACTTATATAAAACACGGATTAAAATTTACCAAGATTAGTTCTTCGTAACGTTTCGGGCGCAAGACCAACTTTGAACCATTCAGTGCCAAATTCTGTTACTGTCAAACAAGTACCTGATAGGGAAATGATTCAAATAAATCCATAAAATACTTTTTACGTATTAATACAATACTTGTTACATGCCATTAACGCTAATACTGTCACCAAGTTTACAATCAACAAGTATGGGTTCAGCGTTCCCAATTTTCATTGACCAGCCATCGCCACCTGTTGTTGAAAGATCCAACTGTTGGATTTCCATTACCACTCCCATATGTTCTACTATTCCTGTAAACATTTTTAATAAAAGGGCTAGGGCTAAATCAACGAAATCTAATTTACTGAACATAAAAATTCTCGCCTGCATTAATGTAAGGCAGACCGAGTAATTTTGTTAATTCTGGTCAGATCTTATAAACATCTTGATTTTCTATCAATTTGGTCAAAAATATACCGATTTGCTATGATCGGCCAATTAGAATGCAATATTTGATGTAACGTAATATAACGTGATCAGTAACTACCTACTTTCCGTGTGAACATGGTTTTTTTGATTGTTGATTGTCTACTTTAAACTTGTCGACAATTAAGGTTGGCCAAATTTATGTTGCTCGGCCCAAATTACAATCTTAATTTTGCCCGTAGTGGTATTGTTACACTGCATTA